GGATCAATTTTTCACGCACATGTCTTGTAACCTGAGCAACTACTTGAAGATAACAATGTATTAACCATTGATATTCTCCTATTATCTTGTTTTGAAATTTTGTATCATTGTTTTTATTTTTTTCTCTTTAAAATAAAAAAAGAATAGTAAGCCTTGTGCTTAAGCAGCTACATGTCTCAGGAAGCTCCTATTACTTCTTTTAATCCTGCTTCTAACCTAATATAGACCCTCGTGTTAGTTTCCTAAGAATCCCATAACAAAATACCACAAACTGTGTGGCTTACATAGCAGAAATCAATTTCCTCACAGTTCTGAAAGCCAGAAAGCTGTCATCAGAGTTGCCTTCTTTTGAGGCCTCTCTCTCTCTAGCTTTTAGCTCATATTCTCCCTCTCTCTCTAGTTTTCCACAATTCCACAGTGACTGAACAAACTTCCAGCAGGCATCCTGAATTACAGCCAAATCAAAAAACTCCATTTTAATTTAATTATTTCTTTAAAGGCCCTTTCCCCAAGTGACACTTTCCAAGGTACTGAGAGGTCAGACTTCAACACAAAATTTGTAGAGGATATAATTTGATCTATAATACAAACCTAGAATATCCAAATTTAGCTGATATGAACATGACACAGCAGAAGCTTGCAATACCCTTTACCTGATCCCTTCCTCTCTCACACTCTCACTTACTCTCTGCTTCCTGACTGCCATGAAGCAAGCAGCTTTCCTCCACCAGCCCCTCTCCACCAGGATGCTCCACAAACAAAGGAGCCAAGAAGCTATGAACTAAACCTCTAAAACTGTGAGCCAAAGTAACTCTGCTTCTTTACATGGTCACCGTGACAAAAAACTGACTTACACCATGAGACAGGACACATTACTTTTCTTTCAAAGGTAAAGAAACCACCTCACAGAGAAATTAAGAAATTCACCCAAATCCATACACTTACTAAATAGTAAATTCAGACAATCTGTGACCTGTGATGTGCACTCTTTACACCATGCCATACTCCCTTTTATGGCAGCTCTGTTGGGTAACATTCATCCTACACAATGAGGCAAACAACCAAATTACATAATGAGCAAAAAAGTGTGACCAGTTACCTCACCAGAGAAGATATTCAGTTGGAGAGTAAGCATATGAAAAATGCCAAATTGCATATGGAACCACTTAGTAAACGTATCAAGCACTACACCCCTGTTAGCATGCCCAGAATCTCACACACTGAGCACCAAATGCTGATGAGGATGTGGAGTATCAGAAACTCTCATTTGTTGCTATAACTGAATGCAAAATGGAATAGCCACCTTGGAAGACATTTCCACAGTTTCTTATAAAAACTAAGTATCTTATTCTACAATGCAGCAATCATACTCCTTTGTCAGTATTTGTCTATGGTTGTGAACTCGAGCTGGCCGCTTGCCCTGGCCACCCAGGGAGCTTTTCTGCACTCTTAGCCTCTGGCAATGGGGACTGTAGTTGCTGTTTCTGAAGAGGGTTGTATCATTTTTCGGTTCTGCCTCAGTCTTCTGTAGGCTCTTTGTGCCTGGGTCTCGGCAAGGAGCCTTTCTTAGTGTTCCTGTTCTATCCTCTCTGAGACACAGAAGTTAGTTTTATATCAGCAGAGGGTCTTAGAGGGAAAGAGAGTGAGCTTTCTGCCCTTCTCCCCAGTAACAGCAGACTTCTGTGCTGTCCCACTGGGCTGGGTCTCTTGTTGTCCCTTGGTGACAGATGGCTTTCTCTCCTGACCCTCCATTAGCAGCAGATAGATGACTTTTGCCTGGAACCATAGTGGGAGCGCTTCTCACCCCTCATCCTATGCTACTGCTCTTGCTTCATATGACAGCAAAGTTCAAGAAAAGAAAAGATTTCCACGTATGCATCCTGAGAGAGGCTTTCTTGGGCTCTTATCCTGCCGTTCTTGTGGACAATCAGCAAAGGTTTGTGGAAAAGAGCCACTGAGTGATTCCGGAGTCTCTCAGGTCTGAGGCTCACAGGATCCAAACTTTTGTCAGTCTGCATTTAGCTTTTAAGAATTCATTAGAGTTTTTAGTTGTTTTATTCTTGTGGCTGCTTTGATGGTAGGCAGCTACCCTGTAAAGGGTGAAACAGATTGTGTATTCCATCTCTTCAGGGAATAGCTCATAATTTAGTACATCTGGTTGCCTTTTGATCTTAAACTGTCTATTAACAAGTCTATGAGGAAAGCCACAAAGGATTCACCTCCAAATTCAGGACTTCAGTAAAGCCAACTTTGGCATCTCTCCTGCCTTTGGGTGAGACAGATTCTGATTAAGAGCTTTTCATTTGTAGCGATTCAACAGTTCCTGTTAACCATTGGAATGAAGGTCGTAGAGTCTGAAAAGTTCGAGGTTCTGTTTTATTCTGAGCTTGACTACAGCATTCTTAACTGTGTAGTGGATATATTACAAATACTGCCTATTTCCTGGGCCTATTGATAAGATCAACAATAAATGTAAAGTAAGGTTCTAACACAGGTAATCCCTGATAAATTATTCTTTTCCAGGATCTGCTGGTTAAATATAAACTTTAATGAGACACATTCCTTCTCTTAAACTCTTAGACTAGTGCAGAAGAAAAGAATAACCAGATACACAGCTGAGTGATGAACCTTGTCTAAATGCTAGGACAGAGGTGTCAGTGACACAGAAATGCTTAGGACCCCTAGGAGGGAGTGAAGTCTAAGCCTTGTGGGATGAACAAGGTCAGAGGCTGGCTGGGTTGGGGGTGTGCAGGTGGTGAAATGGAGGAGAGGTCAGTGGGGGCAGGAGGAGCAGCAGAAGTGATGAACCACATCGTGGCCAGGGGCGCAGACGGTGGGGGCAAGTGGACAACAGAAATATGCTGTAGTATGCAGGCAGGGTGGGCAGTGGCCAGCAAGGAAGGAGCCAGGGAGGTGAGTCGAGGCTAAGCACCTAGACTATGAGCCTGATGGAGAGCCTCTGAAGGGCGTAGGTTGAGCGAGTTTCATTTGAAGATCAGTGTGATTTCTGGGGAAAGAATGAGTTAAAGTGCAAGAAAGACATCAGAGACTGGGAGATCAGTCAGGAGGCTGGAGCTCCATGTAGGATGGAAGAGGGTAACAGCGACAACAGAGCAGTGAGGCCTGATGCTGATGGCAAAAGCAGGGTGCCCAGGCTCTCTTGGAACCATCTTGGAGCTCAGGCGGCAGGTAAAACAAGCAGAACCAGGCAACTAGCAAGAGGAGTCCAGACTGACGCTCAGTCTTATTCTCCAACACTGAGGGAGCGTGCAGTAACTCAGAGGATCAGAATGGAAAAGATCTCAGGGCAGCCCAGACAAAGTTAGCCTCTTATGTGTGCACTCCCAGAGTTCTTTGCTCAGCTCCTCACCAGAACAGGACACACCCCTCTGCAGTCTAAGTGCTGTCTCCAGGCTAGAGTGCCTACCTTAACAGTGTGACGGATGGTGTCTTAACCTTCACAGACACAGCACCAAACACATGGCAAATCTGTTGAAACAGCCACCAGATCTAGTTCCCCACTTTTACCAACAAGAGACTCCTAAACCCAGAAAATTAAGTGAGTTGTGAGAAGAACTGACAGTCCACAGCAGCATGGAGGCCTGGATCCTTCCTTATTCCTAGCCAGGTTTAGGCAACAACCAACAACAGAATGTTGGTTCCTTCTGCACGAAGTGGCAGGGAAGGGCTGGCTCATCGGACACCACAGCACTTCTCTTAGATGTTGAGATGACCCTGTTCTAGGAAGTGAGTTGGTAGCATTTGGTGCTGAAATCCACAGCGAGTGGCTCCCAGCATCACCACACCTGCAAACTGCTTTGATCGTGTGCATCTGCGAACCCAGGAACCAGCTCTGTGCCGAGAGGCACAATGTCTAAATCCTCTGCTCTGCCACAGCCCACCGGCTTCCAGCCCAGGCTGTCAGTGTCGTATTCTCCACTGTGCTTTCGCAGTGACTCTGCCTCTCATCTGCTCTGCCAGGGCTCCTGGGCCAGCCTTGCTTTGCCCTCTGTGCTTTCCCATCTCCCCTCCGGCCTTTGTGAGCCTCTCTAGAATTAGTAGTGTGTGTCATACAACTTAATGTCCCTTGTATTTTTATTTGGATTACTTTTTCATCTTGGTCATCTCTGTATCTTTCACAGTGGGCACACAGAAGGCTCCACAGGAGCATCCTTTGATCCTCTTGGGTTTCTTAATGTGCATACAGCGAGCTCAAATGCTAGAACTGAGCAGCCTCCTGAGAGAAAGCAGACCCCACCTTTATAAAGGGGCTCAGAACACCGACCTCTACCCACAGGGAAGATGGGAGGGGACCGCTGCTCCACTTACACGGATCGTTTTTTTTTTTTTTTTTTTTTTTTTTTCCCTGTACAGACGCTCCTCAATGTCTTCTTGAGTCTTGTATACACCAATAGGGATTTTGCATCCAAGAGGAGCAAGCGGTTTCCAAAGCCTCTGCAGGACTCTGCCTGCAAGGAGCTGCCCCGCAGAGCACCGGCCCGATGGCAAACAGCTCGCCCTGTATGGCGTCCTCTGGCGGCAGCGGCAGTACCGGGCCCAGCAGATACCCGGCAGGATGCAAAGCCTTGCAAGTACCAGGCAGGGTTCTAGGCTCAGCCGGACCAGATATCGAGTCGTAGCCAGAACAACCGAGGGCAGGTGGCGAATGCAAGTGAGAGAGAAAGCTTCTGCGAATGGACAGAAGTTTAGGGGGCAACCGTTACAGAACACTAAGACCCTGCCTAAGCAGGTGCAGCGACACAGGGACAATTAATAATCGCATGACTCTATCAGCATCCGTAGGCTTACACCAGGCCTTGCTGAACTTGGTACTTTTAGCGCAAAAAAAGCCGAGCTTGCAGGAAATGCAGGAGCGCCTGTGGTCGCGCACATCCCGCCCTCGGATCAGCTTTCCTACACAGAAGCAGCGCTGCTCCTCAGCGCTCCGCCAGAGGGCAGGAGAGGTCACATCACTCAGGGAATTTTTAAAAATTCCCGACTTTCTCCCCAAATTGTGTTCCTCCTCGTGAAACCGAATCCCGCCCGCCCGCCCAGTGGCCGCCGCCCCGCCCCGCGCCTCGGAGCGCAGCCGTCGGCCCGCGATGAAGCTGTGGCTGCTGCTCGGGCTCCTGCTGGTGCACCAGGCGCTGCAGGATGGTGAGTAACTCGGCCGGGCACCGCCTCGCCCCGGGCCCATGCACCTGCCCTCCGGGAGCGGCTCCTGCCCTCCGCGCTGCTGCCCGTCCACCCTCGGTGTCCACCCGCGCTGCCCTGTCCACCCTCGGTGTCCATCGCGCTGCCCCGTCCACCCTCGGTGTCCATCCGCGCTGCCCCGTCCACCCTCGGTGTCCATCCGGGCTGCCCTGTCCACCCTCGGTGTCCATCGCGCTGCCCCGTCCACCCTCGGTGTCCATCCGCGCTGCCCCGTCCACCCTCGGTGTCCATCCGGGCTGCCCTGTCCACCCTCGGTGTCCATCGCGCTGCCCCGTCCACCCTCGGTGTCCATCCGCGCTGCCCCGTCCACCCTCGGTGTCCCTCCGGGCTGCCCTGTCCACCCTCGGTGTCCATCGCGCTGCCCCGTCCACCCTCGGTGTCCATCCGGGCTGCCCTGTCCACCTTCGGTGTCCATCGCGCTGCCCCGTCCACCCTCGGTGTCCATCCGGGCTGCCCTGTCCACCCTCGGTGTCCATCGCGCTGCCCCGTCCACCCTCGGTGTCCATCCGCGCTGCCCCGTCCTCCTTCGGTGTCCCTCCGGGCTGCTCCGGCCGTCCCGGGAATCCCTGGGCGGGCGAGCCGGGCGCCCCCGGCCAGCGCAGGCTCCAGCCCTCTGTCAACGTGTCGGCCTGGGGGTGGCGCGGGCGCGGCGCACGCTTCCCCCTCGGCGCCGCGGCGCCCGGCCGTCCGCTGCCGAGGCCGGATGCCACCTAGGCACGACGCCGGCAGGTTCCAGTGCACAGGTCCGCGTTCTTTTCCCCTCCGCGGTCCTGGATCAGCTTTGTGGGCAACCTTGGTCTTAAATGCTCGAGACCCGCCTAGGTCTTTGACGTTGCGTAAGTATTTTACCTCAAAAGAAATCAAAACTGCACAACTATTACGTTTCTTTCATTTCCCATCTGATTGGATGGAAAACGGTGAGGAGAATGCATTTTGTGCCACGTGTGAGGGCGATGCATCGCTGCCTTCCTTTTAGGCCCCCGGGACTGAACCCAGACGCTTCACCCTGAGCTACATCTCTAGTTTTTTGAATTGTTTTCTTAAATTTTAAGACAGCGTCTTACTAAGTGGCTGCTGCCTCAAATTTGACATCTTCCTGCCTCAGCCTTCCAGAGTGCTGGGATTACAGACTTGTCCCACCGCACTGGGCTCTGACTGCACTTTTTAAACTGTGTGCCTGTCCGGGGTCCATTTTTGATGTATAGATGTATATATTCATAATCGCAGATATTTTCGTGTTTGTGTGTGTGCATTGTGTATTATTGTTATATACATGCATGCACATAATATGTCTTATTTGCTTCATTATTTATTAGAGTTATCTGCACAGAATATCTGTCATCTGGTTACATTCTCAAATCTTCAGACCTCTCTTCAAATTTGTTGGCTATAGACACAAATCCACTTAGATTAGTCTGAAAAGCAGCGTTTGTTGTTATTTAATCTCTTCCTTGGGCCAGCTCATCCTGGCTCCCATTTGATCCACTGCTCATCCTGCCCAGTTCCTGCCTTTCCTATGAAACTATAATCTTTTGCCAAAAAGTACCATATTCTAGTTTGGGGATTCCAGGGTGGTTGTGGACCAGGGAGTTGAACCTAAGGATCCTAAACTTGGATCGTGCTTTAATGATGTACAGGCAGTGCTTCAGGGAGCAAAGGTTATTCTTTGCCCAGGGTGAAGCTAGCCTGAGCTCAGTTTGTAAAATGCGGTATTAAAATGCTCCTGGCAGGTTATATGTGACTTCCGGAATGATGGAAATGCAGTATTTGGTATCATTTTATAAACAGGGCAGGAGATGCCAGAGAAAATAATTTCAAAATAGTCCATTCAGTTTGTTTATATCCAAGATGCCAGTCTCAGAGTTCCAGTGGTGGCTTCAGCCAACACGTACCCACACCATGTGAAATATTACCACCATCTGCCTCAAGAAATTAGCATCTGTTTAAACAAAATAGAGTTCATGCAATAAACATGAGAGAGAGACAGAGAAAGTTAAATACAGGCTGAATCTTTTATGAGAAACTATGGATCAGTTTTAGGTGTGATAGTATCGAGATCTTATTTTTTTTAAGTATATTTATATGATGTATAGACTGTGGATAAAATGTTGAACACATACTTGAAATATCAGGACTTCATTAAGTTATATAACAGTTGTCCTAACTCTGTCAAGAATGTTTTTCCTGAGTTGTCTGGGAGCCTGGGTCCAGGAACAACCAATGAGAATGGATGATACAGAAAGCCCTTTCAGCGTCTCTGATTGGCAGGTTCGGGTATGTGGCCTGCCCAGCATTCAGAAGCTCAAACTGCAGACTGTAGGCCATGACTCAATTTGTCCCACTGCCTTTCCATTCTCCTGACCACATCTGGGAGAGAGCTTTCTAAGAGGAAAATGTATCCTTGTAAATGCGTGCGAGGGTGGGCATCTGTCTTAACCCGGCAGTTGACTTTGTCTGATTCTAAAAGTATAATACTATTTTTCTCCACCCAGAGGTGGAGCTGGAGGGTAGGTTTCACACCTATGGCGTGAAAATGTTAATAAATAGCCTAAAACTCCAGTTAAGAGTCACACGTTGCTCACAGCACCTGATGTTCACACTTGCTGTGGATTAGGTATCACTGTGTAAGTTGATAAAGCACTGCAGATTTCACATTAAAATATAAAACCAGATGGGCGTGGTGGCACGTGTCTGTAATTCCTGTACATGGGAGGCTGAAGCTGGGTTATGTTTGAGTTCAAAGTCAACCTGGCCTACATAGCGAGACCCTGTTTTTAATTTTTTAAAAAAGCCTACAATCACAGGCCTTTACAAACTTTTGATGATTTAAAACTTTATATGCAATGTCAGGAACAGCTTCAGATTTGGGAACATTTTGGATCTAGAATTCTTGGATTAGGGAGTTCAACCTGTAAAATGAACCAGGCAGCTTGAAACAACTGTATTCCTTCACAGTCCCAGAGTCTAGAATCCAGAATGGAAGCTGCAGGGGGACCTGGCTGGTTCCAAGACTCTGGCAGAAGCCTTCCCCGCATCTGCCTAGCTGCTGGTTGGTGCCCAACAATCCTTGATTCCCCTCGGCTCGTGGCTGTCTCACTCCACCTGCTGCCTCTGCGGTCACTTGGACATCATCTCCTTGTATCTCTGTCTTTGTGTGGTGTCCTCTTCTCTGTGTGTCTCTTCTTTTTATAATGACATCAGTCCTTTGGGATCAGAGCCTGGGGGTGACCTTCTGCACAGGAGATGTGTTCCTGGTTCCATTCACAGGTACCAGGGTCAGAGCTTCTCTTATCTCTTTGAGGGACACAGATCAATCAATAACCCTGAGAGAGACTCTAGAGGGGAGTGAAGGTATCCTGTGGATGGAGAGTGGGAGGCTGCCTGAGGCAAGGAACCAACTTTTGAGGGCGTCAGAGAAGAGACGCCCTGTGCAGGTCAAGGGCACAAATGCAACAGGTCCTTGTGGTCTGGTGCAGTGCTCAGGGCAGCAAAAGGATTGTTAGTTGTGACACAGGAGGAGGCAGAGCCTTATAGGGAACAGGAAGACTTAGTACTTTTGTCTCAATTAGATGAAGAGTTCTGAGCAGAGAAGTGTCCATGGTCTTACACACATTTTTAAAGTGCTAGGGTGGAAGCCAGGCACCTACTGGATGCTTTAGTATTCTGGATGAAGAGTATCCTGGTCCAAAGTAATGGCAATGGATGGAAGGGGAAAAGCAGGGTCTATTCAGAGTCTATTTTGAAGTTGGAACCAAAGAGCTCTGCTGCTGGATGGGATGTGGCTTAGGAGACAAAGCAAAGCATTGAGTGAGGCCTGGTTTCGTGCCTGCACACTAGGTGGGTAGAGCTGTCCTTGCTGATAGAGGAGCCCTGGGGAAGGAGCAGGTCTGAAGGGGCATCCAGAGGTCAGATTCGGACACGTTAAACTTGAGAAGCCTGCTGGCCCTGCAGTGGCAGTGCTGAGTAAGCAACGGAATATTCAGACCTAGCGATCAGAGGCAAAAATCAAGGTGAAGTGCGGCCGCTTTCAGCTTGCAAACACTGCCGAAGTGTGAGGCACCACAGAGAAGGGTGAGTCAGAGGTTGCCAAGACCAAGCCCCAGGACTCAGGTCCGGCAGGAAAGAACAAGGACAAAAAGCCGTCCACGAGAGACTGCAAGAGTCCAGGACAGCAGGATGCCCTGCGAGCCTGAAGATTCTCAGAAAGTCTTCAGCTGTGTGCTAGATGTTCTGGGAAATGCTTCAAAGTCTATCCAGGGATCGAAGGAGTTATTTCTCTGTATTTTATCAAAATGATACTTTGAGAAGTGGTAATGAGATTTTTTTTTTTTTTTTTTTTGGAATGGGGTTTTCAAAGGAAGCAGGCAATGGGTCTGATCTTTATACCTTTTATCTTCCCCGTCACTGTCCCGCACTTTGACCGTTGTCCTTAGAAAAGTGTGCATGTGCCCGTGAGGCCTTTGTGGAAGAAAGGAAAATGGAAAGTGGCTGACTTTGTCTATATTGGGAGACTTACCTAAACTATTCACGTTTCTAGTGTGGTTGTTTCCACGTGGCTCTCAGGGGTAGCCTTTCCCTTAACTGCCTTTCAGGAAGGAGAAAACAAACAGCTGTAGCTCTTGATGTAAATGGCTATGATTAATATATAAATCCCCCTCTAAGCAGCAATAAGTCTTCAAATTTATTTTCTCCTCCACCCCAATTCCGTGGAATTAGAGCGGTTAGTAGCCAGGTGACTTTAGATGAACAGTCTGATTGTATTCCTCACTTGCTGTCGAGTGATACCCGTGCTTTCCTTGCTGCCTTGTGAGTGGGAGCTTTGGACCAGCCTCTCCTCACTTACAGATGCTAATATATGCCTTGGAAAATCATCTTGGCCTTGTGCTGCTGTCCCCACCATCAAGGTCTGTTTGGCCTGGAATGGTTGTTAAGGGCTGAGCTAACTGTAACAAGCAGTAACTCACTCAGGACTGTGATGCCCTGCCTGAGATGTGTGCAAATAAAGTGAAGTTGCAATCGTATTTTAATGTGTAAGTGACTGGACGTGAGCCAGAACAAGCTCTCGACTTGGAGTCACAGGATGTGACTTTTTTGTTTTTACTACCTTCTTGATGAACTGGGATGAACTACTTGGCATCTCTAAATGGAAAAATAGCTACAATACGTTGCTTTTACCAGTAGCTTATCATGGAGTCACAAGAAATAGCCATGAGTCAAGTTGCACTTAAGTAGCATTTACTGTGAGCCAGACACTCTTCTCAGCATTGTAAATGTATTAACTCATTTAATTTTCACAACAATCCTTGAGATAGTTATTATTACTTTTGGTTTCATTTTACAGATGGGGAACCTTAGAGGGCAAGTAAGTCCCCAGGGCCATTCAGTCAGTGTCAAAGTACAACCTGAAGTCAATAAAATTTCAGTCTGAATTTTGCCACCTGTTTCTCTATGACATATACTATGTGATTGTCTCAAAAAGGAGTTGTGATGGATTTTCATTTTTGCTTATTTACAATATAAATTCTTACATCTCTAGGAATAGAACTGATAGAGGGGAATGAAACTTCGACCTACCACTGTCTAGTATGAGTTCGTGTTCTCTAAAATCGAAGAATGAATTTAGGAACAACAGAGGTTAAGAATAGAATATATTTATGGAGAGAAAGAAAGCTTCTGTCTGAGAGAGACAGAAGGGGTCCTAAAAGGGTTGCCAAAGACTCTTTTTTTCTAGGGACTTTTATGAGACAGGTCAGAGATGGGGAAAAGATGGGAATTTGAAAGGCATGAGGTGGGACAGAGCATGGTCAACCAATAACATTAATTGTTCAGGTAAAATTGACCAAATCAGGGATAAATAGAGAAGTGAGTAGCAAGCAGGCTTGCTTAAATAGCAGTGACTCTTTCTGTAGAGGGTTGGGATGGCGACTCCTGCTTCCTCAAGGTGATCCATACCTATTTAAAATATCAATCCTTAGGATACAGTTATATTTATTTGATCTTTTGTCTTGAGGGCTGGCCCACAGTAGGAGGTGTCTGTCTCCTCCAAGGTTACAAGATAGCTGGTCTTCTGAACTGGCTCCTTTGGGGGCCCAGCCCTGTCTGACTACTTACAATATTTCTATCTAACTCAGCTCCCTATAGCAGAACTAATTTACTTAGGCCAAAGTCACGTTCTTTTTCAAAAATTGAGAGAGCTCTTGAAGGTCACTATTTTTACTCTTGGGGTGCTATTAGGCTTGTATGTGTGCATGGGGGAGTGAACCCAGAATCTTACCTAAACTTTACCATTGAGCTATATACCCCAAGCTCCTTAGACTGATTTCTTTAACTTAATGACTTTACCATCAATCACTGATCAATTCTGTAGTTGGGCCAATGGAGTAATGACACAGTTAAATCAACTGATGGGCCTTTTTGGTCAAAATTACTTTCCAGGTATAATAGCAAATATGAGAGTGCATACTGTCCATAACCATATAATGTAATGTTCCTGAGTAGCATAGGCACATATGGTCTGATAGCTCAGAAGTCAGGTAGGTAGCAGTGGTTGCCTAAGTTCTGAAGGAATTATAGGAATGACATTTTGATCACTTGAATTCTTTTATATAATAAACAAAACCTAGCAAATTAGACATCAATCCAGAGTTCCATTAATCTCATAGGTGTGATATGACTAAAATTTTTAGAGTATTATTTTAATCCACAGCCTGCAGGCTTTAAGTAGGTGATTTGTAGGAATCCTATAAGTTGGAATGCCTTTGTCATTCTATGGGGAGATATCAAGGCCCTTTTTGAGCTTATGTGGACAGATGAGCCAACTGAAATTTAGATATATCATTGCCTTTCATCCTTGCTGGGTGGATACAGATGCATACCTGTGATTTTTGGAGCCCAGTGACCTGCAGAAGGGCAGAGCCACGGGAGCCATCCTCCCTGGGTGCAGGCAGTAATGAGTGCATCGTCTGTAGCCAAGGCAAGAACAGTGAAAATGCCAATTTAAAGTAGGTCAGCTTTTATTATCACTGTATGCCAGTGACTCTAGCAGTGTTGGTGATAAGATAGTCCTCCTCCAAAAGTATTGCCTTGGCTGAACTCTAAACCATTTACCACAGTTAACCTGAGTTTTGATAATTTATACGTAAGCTTTAAATTAGCACACATTTAGGATATATTCCTTAATAAACCTCATATTCTACCTGGACACTGTCAGCCCCTGACAAACCCAAGACTCCACCCTGCACTTTCATTGTGAGAGAGTTCACACTTTGGGTGCTGTTCATGTGCCTCATCTTGTGAGAATACACATCTCTGCATTTAACGAATAGATTCAGTGTGAACAGTGAAAACACAGGGATGGCTAAGGTCGAAAACAGACTGCGGACGATGGCTGTGGAACAGAATGTGGACGAGGAGGAATGTTTTGTTGCATTAGGGTAAACTTTAGTTCATACATAGCATATTTCACTATGTTTGAATACTTCAGCTTCAAAGATGAAGGATATTCCTTTTAATTGTTTTAAAACTAAAGAATGGATCAGGAGAACAGGGATTTTTATGTGATTGGGTTACAGAAAATAATGGGACTGAGAAAGTGGGCCGTATCAGAGGGATCTCAGCACGGGGTCTCGGGGACTCTGGGATGCCACAGCTATCGCCCACTGCTGTCCCCTCCTATTCATACAGCTGCTGGCCAACACCCTCCCAAAAGCAAGCACCCAAAGGAACAAGGCGAGAACAGAATCAAACCTACCAACAAAAAGGTGAACCCCAAAGTTCCCAAGGTAAAAGACAGGGATGCAGCTGATTCAACACCGAAGAGTCAGTCCATCATGATGCAAGTGACGGAGAAAGGTCACTTCCAGAGACCTGCTGCCACCCTGAGTCTGGCGGCCGGGCAGCCTGTAGAGCTTCGATGTAAAGGAAGTAAAATCGGATGGAGCTACCCTGCCTATCTGGAGACTTTTAAGGACTCCCGCCTCAGGTAAGCTTGGTTTTCTTTTCTCCTGGTGTGGGCCCAAGGTTTGCTTTTGTTTCCTCCTTCATTCAGTGTTGCCTTGTTTCTGATAACTACCCTTTCACCCTTGAAGGTGATAAAAATGGAAGCTTAAAGAACAAAAGCCGTGGGCGTTGTGTCTCCATGTGATTAAAAGTTGTTGCAAATCCTACCAACAGTGTTTGAAAGGATAAGTCTTATAGGACACCAGAGGACAAGAATAAAATTTTATAGGAAATTGTAGTGCACAAGGAATGGATACTTAAAATATTATTTAGTGAAAGATCATATACTCAATGTTTTGTGCTAGTTTTTAAGTGATCATAATGAAATCTGAAATGCCTTGGTGAGATCCCTGTGAGGAAATTAATCAGAGACCAACTTTAACTACTTTTTCACTTTTCACCGGCTTCTGATTGCTTTTATTTTTGTGAATACATAAAGTCTCACTGGTAAGAAGACCCAAGATTTCTCATGTTTAAACCAGTACCTTGCGGTGTGTAGTGATGCACCCCTATAATCCTAGCCCTCGGAGAGGCTGAGGCAGAAAGAGCACAAATTCAAGACCAGCCTGGGAAACTCGGCAACTGAGCAATACCCTGTCTCAAAATAAGAGATAAGGAAATGGCTAGAAAAGGTCCTGAGTTCAGTCCCCAGAACCACATGTGCACACACGCACACGTACACGCACACACGCACACACACACACACACACACACACACACAAGCAAAGTTCCTTTGGGAGGCTGGTGATAAGAAAAAGTAGTTAAAATGATGATTATGATAACTGTGTAAAGCTGGGGAAGATGGTTTATACCTGTAATCTCAGCACTTGGGAAGCTGAGTCAGGAGGATTGCTGTAAACGCAAGACCAACCTGGATTACATAGCAAGACCCTCTCTCAGAAAGAGTGAGACAGACAGACAGAGACAGAGACACAGAAAGAAACAGGAAAGAAAACTATAGGCCCAGGGATGCTGGTGTAGCCTATAATTCAGCACTTAGGAGGCTGAAGAAGGAAGATCGTCTTGCGTTTGGGCCAGCTTGGGCTACATGGTGAAAGTCTGTCTAAAAAAAACAAAAAAAGAAAACTGTGTGCAAAGGCGGTGAAAGCACGGTGGAAACGTTTAGTTCAGTGGCAGAGCACTTAGCTAGGACGCGTGAAGCCTTGTGTTCATAACAAACACAACGGTGAGAGAAGGGAAGAAGAGCCTGCTTCAGAGGAGGTGAAAGGAGCCCTGAATCCTGGCCTGGGGCTGAGGGGAGGTTTTGGGGTTAGAGTCCTGCTTATCTCTGGAGAGAGCCTCTGAATTCTTTGGCTCTTGATTCCTCATCTTGGGGATGAAGGGGATGGAATGACAGGATCTTAGAGACTGTTTCATCACTATTTTCTGTGAATAATGGAGAACCATAGAGAACTGCCTTTTTGGGGTGAGTAGAACGAAGGGAAGAACGCTGACAGCAGGCACCTCAAACCCTGCTGTCCAGCCAGGCCCGGTGGGTGGCTCACGTCTGTAATGCCAGAGCTTTGGGAGACTGAGGCAGGAAGACTGAACGTTTGAGCCCAGCCTGGGTAACAATGAGAATCTGTCTCAAAATTAAAAAGTAAAAAAAGGCGTGGGAAAAGGAGAAAAGGGGATGTAAAAATAATTAAGATGTGGGGATGTAGCTCAGTGTAAAGATCCTGGATTCCATGCCAGTACCCCAAAACAGGTCAAATCAAATCGAAACAAAAACGGACCTCTGTGTGTTTTGCGTGTTGTGATTGCTCCGAGTTTCCCCAGACTCCACCTTCACGGAAATTGTGGTCCAGCCGGGCGCAGAGGTTCCTTGCTCAGCCAGGAATCCACAGCACCCCTCTCCCCCTCACTCCCCTCCTCCGGTCTTAGGGAGATCAGTCAACCTGTTAAGAGCCACAGAGCTCTCCTCTGCCCACTTCCTGTCACATCCGGATCCTGCAGTAATCAAACCGGGGTGCACCTCGGTTTGTCCTGCCTCAGGGCCATGCGGTGACGCTTAGAGGCACAGCTTCCCTTGCAGCAGGAGTCGCCCGCCTGCCCCCAGCACTGAGCCCTCTCTGATCTGTGTGGGTACCCGTGCCCCCTCCCCTGGCTCCACACCAGTGTTCGTGTTCGCATCAGGATTCTGGCAGATTCTCAAAATCTGAAGGCTCTTGGCTTTAAAACAACAGCTGCTTCCTTGTCTGGAGCAGTTTGGGCCCCTCTTCACCTGGGGCCTGTACACCCCAGGCTTCCCCCCGGGAAAGTGCTGCAGACCAGGCTGGCCTGGATTCCCAGTGTACCCTGCGATTCCCCTCTCCAGCCTTCTGCAGACCGGCACCTCAGTTTCTAGGGTGTTTTTTTTTTTTGTCTGTTTGGTTGGTTAATTGGTGAATTTTTGGTACAACTTGCTATGTAGTCCAGGGTGGCTGTGAACTCACTCTGTAGCTCAGACTGACTTTGGACTTGATGATCCTCCTACGTCAGCCCCCCAAATGCTGGGATTATAGGCATATGTCCCCATACCCAACTTCTCTCTCTTTAATCTGTGATTTTTACTGAGATATATCTGAATGCTTGGTATTTATCTTTGTCTATTTTCTCACAGTGATGATACCCTCTCATTTTCCCAATAGGCTTCTCTTTACCACAGACATTTTAGAGAGTAAATTAATTACAATGCACAGTCTACCTATCTCTCTGTCTGTCTGTCAGTCATCTTGTGTCAAGGCCCACTTCATGTTTCTGTATTGACCATACTCTCTGGCATCACAGACAGAACTCTAGCGTTCTTCCTAAGGTATAATAGATTGGGAGGGACGTGGAGAATGAGAGCCAGTTTTCCGTTGAGTGTGTGTGTCTGTGTGTGTGTAAGAGCATGTGTACTCTTGTTGGAACAAATCTGGAGACTTACTAGTTCTGTGTATATACACACTGCTACACACGTATGTGTTAAAAAAAAAAACACCTAACATAAATTTACCTGCTTAACAGTTTTCTTCTCTGTGATGTTAGGGGTGGAACCCGAGGCTTCACACTTCCTGGGCAAAGTGCAGTTCCCCTGGCCATACTCCAGCCTCCCTCAAAGGTTTTTTCAGCCTAAAGAACAGTATTATTGACTATATGTATGCATGTGTTGCACAGTTGACCTCTGGAGCTTTTCCATCTTGCATGACTGAAACTCTGTGTCCACTGAACAACTCTTATTTCTCGCCCCTCCTAGCCTGGCCCCTGGCAAGCAACATGCTACTCTCTCATACTCTCTCATGTTTATAAGTTTGACTACAAGATTCCATATATATATATATATTATATATATATATATATAATATGTATATATACATATGTTTCATATGTTTGAAAACATTTAAAGATGCAAAGTGAACTAAGCATGAATATGATTTGAAGAGGAATATGCAAGAGCTGAATTTTTGACTGTTTAATGTTAAATAGCATTTATTTGATTAATAGTGGGGGCCTTATAATAAAAGATAGATGTGGGTCCCCAAGGAGTTCACAGAACATGTAAAAATGTGAAAAACAGCTAGTCATAACTCTATATCAAACCACCACCAGAAATAATGATTTCTTTGACACAAGAAATTCAAGAAACAGACTCTTGACATTGTTCCCAGAACATGGTACCTTCAGACAGTGCAAAAAGTGTTCATTCTGTGTTTTCTTTCCCTGTGGAATTAGTTCCTTCCAGCTCTGTGACAGGTTTAGGGTTGGAAGCTCCCAGGTGTTCTTCCAACAGACTCTGGTGGTTTTAACCAGCATTGGCAGCTTTCTGGAACTTTGTCCAGAGCTGTTGTCGTTTTGTCCAGAACTGTTTTCTACATCATCTTTCCTCACTGCATTATACGTTCCTCCTTGTCACTATTCTATAAAAGCAAGTCCACAGAGGAGTCATTTATGAAGAAGAAAAAAGTCTAATTAATATGTAGAGCACCAGATAAGTAAAACAGCAGGGTCCACGTAGAGGAAAATGCCATACATGTTTGATTGGCCCAAAGCTCTAGGGCTGTTATGGTTACTTATTAAATACTTAAATGAATGAGTGAATGAATGAATATGTTTGACTACATTCATTAAAAAATAACAATTTTGGTAATTAAAATTTGATAACAAGAATATAAAATAATGTCACCACAATGTATTCAGGTGATCTTTTTAGGGGTAGAAGATACAGAAATCCCTCAATGTCTATTGATTTTTACACTGGTATTTTATCGTGAATGCTGATCCAGTTTCTGAGTTCATGAAACAAGATGGTCTCTTAAGTATCCTTTCAACTATGAATCTGGGATTTGAGAAAAAAAGAGTTTTTAAACCTGTATTTAAGAAGCACATAAGTATATGTTTTAACAACAATAATTGCATATAGGTTTTTAGATAAATCTATATATGATCTATTGTTTTAATAACATTATAAAACTCCAATGATGTAATATAGTATTCTCTTCTCAACTGGTTCTCAGTTTGTGGCTGTCTGAAGTTTTATTACTGTAAGTAGTACAGTTATAAACATTTTTGTATAAATCACTTACTATGCTTGTTTGCTCTGACACTAAAAGAAGCGTTCAATTTTCTGAATTTTCATGAAGTGTGTTCTACATCTTTCAGGGGTGCAAGAATGTCTCAAGATATGCAAATCAACAAATGTAATATATCACATAAATGTAAGCAATGACAGAAATCACATGAGCACTTTAATACACACAGAAAAAGATTTTGATGAAAGCCAACATCCTTTTATGATAGAAACACTGAAGAAAATAGGAAAGGACTTTATCACAATCTGATAACACCTCTTAATGAGAAACCTACTGCTAACATCATACTAAGTGGGGAAAAACTGAAAGATTTCCCTCTAAAATCAGGAACAAGACAAGGACTCCACTGTCACCACTCATGGTCAACAGAGTACCCAAAACATTAGCAAGAGCCATTTAGACATGATAAAGAAATAAAAAGGATAAATATAGG